TAAAATTTAAATACTGTACTATTTTAAATTCAATTCCAAGTATAAGACCTAATAACTAGAGCTCCAGCCCATAAAACATCGCCGTTTTTCTAGTAATAATTGGCTGGAGCGGGGAATGGAGTGTAAGACCTTTCCATGGTGTACTAATTTAAGGTGATGTCCGGCTCCCGCCCCTGTAATGACGAAAATATTGATTTTGTCTACCCATGTAGAAATTTAATTAATCAGAAATCAATCAATAACGAACAATAAATAAGGTCAACTATGTAATAATAAAAAACATTATAATGATAAATAAACTATATGACTGATAAATAAACTATATAACTAATAATAACGATAAATAAATTATATGACTAATAATTTATCATATTGAAGTTTTCCAATTTGTCATATTGAAGTTCTTTAAAATGTAAAAATATAAAAGAATTTACACAATTGAGCAAAAACCGCAAGAAATAATGCTCAAGACAAGATCGGTGTAAGCGTCAAAATACTATTGGAAAAGTAAATATGAATCCACTATCAACAACAACGTTGTTGCCCTTTAATACTAAAGCACTATTGTCCATCACGGTCAAAAAAAAGTCACACTCAAATTTTAACAGAGATCCCTTGAAGGTCCCTGCGTAAGCAGGGCCTTCAAGGGATCTCTGTTAAAATTTGAGTGTGACTTTTTATGAATGCTACACGGGAGCCTGCGAAGCAGGTTCCCATTTACATAATATCACCTCAAATGCTACATGGGAGCCCGTGAAGCGGGTTTCCATTTACATAATTTACCCTGCGAAGCAGGGTATATTATATAAAATAAACTTTAACTTCTTGAGAGAAGAGAGAAGAAAGAAGAAAGAAGAAAGAAAAGGGGAGGAAGGAAGAGGGAGAAAAAGGAGATGGAAAAGGAGATGGAAAGAGAAAGGGAGAGGGAAAAGGGAAAAAAAGGAAGGAAAAAGAAGGAAAAAAGAGAGAGAGAGAGAGAGAGAAAGAAAGAGAAAAGGAAAGGAAGAAAGTGAGGAAGGGAAGGAGGAAAAAAGAAAAGGAGAGGGAAGAGAATAGAAAAAAAGAAAAGAGAAGAGAAGAGAAGAGAAGAGAAACAGTTATTTAACATGCGGAAAGAAAAGACAATCATTTGACATGCAAAAAGAAAAGACATTAATTTGATATACAAAAAAAAGAGTTACTCATTTAACGTGCAGAAAGAAGAGTCACTTATTTGATATGCGGAAAGAAGAGTCACTTATTTGACATGCGGAAAGAAGAGTTACTTATTTGACATGCAGAAAGAAGAGTTACTCATTTGACATGCAGAAAGTAGAGTTACTCATTTGATATGCGGAAAGAAGAGTTATTTATTTGACATGCAGAAAGTAGAGTTACTCATTTGACATGTGGAAAGAAGAGTTACTCATTTGACATGCGGAAAGAAGAGTCACTCATTTGATATATGAAAAAAAGAGTAACTCATTTGACATGTGGAAAGAAGAGTCACTTATTTGATATGCAAAAAAAAGAGTAACTCATTTGACATGTGGAAAGAAAAGTCACTCATTTGATGTGCAAAAAGAAGAGTTACTCATTTGACATGCAGAAAGAAGAGTCACTCATTTGATATGCAGAAAGAAGAGTTACTTATTTGATATGCAGAAACAAGAGTCACTCATTTGATGTGTGAAAAGAAGAGTCACTCATTTGATATGTGGAAAGAAGAGTTACTCATTTGATGTGTAAAAAGAAAAGCTACTTATTTGACATGTGGAAAAAAGAGTCACTCATTTGATGTGTGGAAAGAAGAGTCACTCATTTGATATGTGAAAAGGAGAGTCACTCATTTGACATGCAGAAAGAAGAGTCACTTATTTAACGTGTGAAAGAAGAGTTACTTATTTGATATGCAAAAAGAAGAGTTACTCATTTGATGTGCAAAAAGAAGAGTCACTCATTTGACATGCGAAAAGAAGAGTTACTTATTTGATATGCAGAAAGAAGAATCACTCATTTGACATGCAGAAAAAAGAGTCACTTATTTGACGTGTAAAAAAAAGAGTTATTTATTTGACATGCAAAAAGAAAAGTCACTCATTTGACGTGTAAAAAGAAGAGTCACTTATTTGACATGTGGAAAGAAGAGTTACTCATTTGATGTGTGGAAAGAAGAGTCACTCGTTACTCATTTGACATGTGAAAAGAAGAGTCACTTATTTGACATATAGAAAAAAGAGTTACTTATTTGATATGCAGAAAGAAGAGTCACTCATTTGACATGTGAAAAGAAGAGTTACTCATTTGATATATAGAAAGAAGAGTCACTTATTTAACGTGCAGAAAGAAGAGGCACTTATTTGATATGTAGAAAGAAGAGTCACTTATTTGACATGTGAAAAGAAGAGTCACTCATTTGATATATGGAAAGAAGAGTCACTCATTTGATGTACAGAAAAAAGAGTCACTCATTTGATATGCGAAAAGAAGAATCATTCATTTGATATGTGGAAAGAAAAGTCAGTCATTTGACATGCAGAAAGAAAAGTTACTTATTTGATTTGTGAAAAGAAGAGTTACTCATTTGATGTGCAGAAAAAAGAGTTACTCATTTGACATGTGAAAAGAAGAATCACTCATTTGATATGCAGAAAGAAGAGTTACTCATTTGATGTGCGGAAAGTAGACTATTATTTAATATACGAAAAGAAGAGTCAGTCATTTATATGCAGAAAGAAGAATCAGTCATTTGATATATGAAAAGAAGAGTCACTCATTTGCATGCAAAAAAAGAGTTACTCATTTGATATACAGAAACAAAAATCGCATATTTGACATATAGAAAGAAGAGTCACTCATTTGACGTACAAAAAAAAGAATCACCAATTT